ACGCGTTTCAGAAAGGCGGGGCATAGAGGAGCAACATGTACACTGTACATGTGTGGAAAACAATGTACATTATATGGAAAATAATGTGTTTTTTAACCTTAAACCGCATAAACACATTGCATTACACCAAATACACAACTTAATGTTCTTTTTAGCAACATCATATGACCCCTTTAAATGTGTAATTGAATCAGAAATGTTAGTATAATTCAAAATACTGATTATGAGCATAAAAGCTCATTTAAAATAGATGCACACACAAAATCCTCATAATACAGGATATAAATTTATTATTATTATATTTTTTTGTACGAACAGTCTGAAATGTTCAAATTAGCACCATCAAAAGTGTCAATTTAAGTACTGATCACGTGTGCAACTACTGACATACAGTACTGGAATACAGAAGAGATATTCACTGTGCCTGGAACATGAAGCTGTTGCACCAAATAGTTCTGACAGAAGCAGTTAGATACAATATGTATTAAATAATCCCAACAAACATTAAAAAACACGTTTCATTTAAATACATACAAAAGTACAAGAACAAAACGTGGAGAAACTGCTGAATTTCACAGTAGTGAAATTTGTCTAGCACCTGTTGTGACCTTGTGCAACCTGGTAGATGAGAGCCAAGGTCTCGAACACACACACATATACGCTCTGTTCCAAAACCTAGTGAGCATTTAAAGGCATCGATGGTGTGTGAAGGTCAATATGTACGCTATGCATTTCACGCTTTACTGAAGTAGCACAAAACTCAATCAGATTATGCTAGATTATGCTATGCATTATGGAGGTTTTATTCTCTGATTATGCATTAACAGATTATGCAATCAAGCCTGCTGCTAGCAACAGCCAGATCATGGGTCCGATTCCCAGGGAAGGCATGAACTGATGTAAAAATGTAAACCATGAATGCAATGTAAGATGCTTTGGATAAAAGCATCTGCCAAATGCATAAGTATAAATGCACTGCAACAAGCTCAGAAAACATCTGAATTGGTGGATGAAACGGAAAAGATGATTATATATTGTATAAAATCCATTCAGTACCTAAAAGCATTTACAAAAAATTGTTCAGTCTAATAAAAAACTACAATGCTGTCCAATATTTGTGTGTTCCTAGAGTATTGCATTGTTAGCTTAGAAACAGGTCAATTCTAAACTCTACTGAAATCAATTGTGATTGAAGGAGCAAGGAAGTTCACTAGGTTTTGATTACAGAGCCAATATAACAAGACAGCTAATTATAATAATACAATCAAAAACAAAACAAAAGATTGTCGATACGGATCTGGAAAAAACAAGCTGTTGTTACAAAGTCCATCAGCTATTGGCCAACCAGTGGCCTTAAGAAAGCAGTTTTTGGTGAAATGAGTTTTACCCACAGTGCAACAGGCAGGCCAGTATGCTGAAGAAGTCACTTCCAGGGCCAAAGTGTGGATTACAGCAAAACATGACGAAACAAGAAACCTTCAAGCCCGTAAACAAGAAACAAACGTAATGCAAGTACGCAAACGCTTGGCAAACACACTGCAAGTACATACTCAGTGCAGGGGGGTGATAAAGTTATGCATAGAAATGGTTACGTTTACGTACTTGCATAGAGTGTGTTCTGCTGGAAATATCTGTTCCACTGCTTTCATTTTTTCATGTAAGAACATTTTTAATAAGAATAAAAAACGTGGTTTTTGACAGTACAAATGGAGAAGGCAAAAATAAACCTCTGTGTGTGGGAGTGCCAGGGTCATTAACTCTTAGGGGGCATTTTGTTGGTGTAAAAGTCTCTGCAGGTCTGGCAGCAGCGTTGGTACCAGCGCATGTCCTGGCACAGGTTCTTCTCTCGGATCACCCTGCAGTAAACCGCCCACTGATCCCCCGTGCACTTGTACGTCAATGCAGCTGCCAGGAATGACAGAATGACAGGACACGGCATTTCATAGATTCAATTATATGACACCATCCCTGACAACATGCATACATCAATCCAGACACGCAGGCTCATCTAGGAGATGCCATTTTTGCAACCGCCAGCAATGTACAATGTTGCTGTTACACTATAAAAAATGCTTTTTCGAAGGTTATTATTAATTATTGGAGTGAAATAATTACAAGAAAATATTACATTACAAGAAAATGTTACTTGCTAATTATTTGTGACACTTTCTAGCGATTTCTGAGTAAAAATGGCTTCAAAGTAAATCCTAGACATTCTGCAGATGATCATCTGCACTTGTTTAGATGATTCTCATTTTATTTGTACACAATAAGAATGTGATGCTTTCCAGATGATGCTTACTTTAACAGATGTCTTGGCAATAAAATAATGTTTATGCGGTACAAATGCTTAAAGCAATGAAAGGCTTTGTTTTAAAACCTAGTGAACCGTCTACTGTCTACATTTAAGACAGCATCCAAACTGAAATGGAAACGGACTGATTTGGATCACTTGACATAGGCAGGATTAAATTCATTTGAAATAAAATGAGGAATCTATTCAATTCAATGCACTTTATTGTCCCCGATGGGAACATTTGTCTTGGACTTTTGTAATTCTGCCTGCGTCAGAGGTGCATATTATGCCTAAATAGGCAGCACACTATAATTTGGAACACAGCCATTAACACTATTTAAAAGTAAAAATGTCCTATTTAATTATAATTAGGACATATGAGTTCAATATATCTACACTGAAATTAAATGCCAATATCATTTCAAATATAGATTTAAATTATATGAAATTCAATGAAATCAAAATAAATTATATGAAATTATTGAGACATAATTTCAATATATCTATATAATATAGCTTTATAATTAAGAGAATTTCATGACATGAATGATTTCATGACATGAATGAGTTTTTAGTAGATTGTTTTTTTTTAAATATGCCTATAATAAATTTTAGTTTTACTTTTAGTTGATTTAGTTTTAGTTATTTTAGTCCTTCAACTTAAACTAAACTTAAACTAGTTGAAATAAAACAGGATTACTATTTATTTATTTATTTTTATATTTTCTTTCAGTTAATGTTGATTTTATTTATTTAGTTTTTTCTATGGTTTTAGTTTTAGTTATATTATTTTCATTTTAGTTATTATATGTTTAACACTAATATCTTGGAAGTCTATATATCGTTATATCATAAAGCTCATCTTCAGCTGTAATTCAAGCAATATCCAGTAATATGACGTAACTTCCGAGGTGCATCAAAAAAATGAAATGGAAATAGATTGTGTTATATTTCTGGTTGAAACTGAACATTCACTGACATGACTGTGTACATCAGGATTTGATTGGATTATAAAAAGTACAGACAATAGGACAGTAGACTGCTGAAGTCTTACCCAGTCTAGGGGAGGTGATGGTGTTCACATTGACTTTCACATTACACGTCCCAAGATGACACTGCCTGTACGCGGTGGGCTTCAGGACTGCTGGGCAGTCGCTACCATGGCGACCGGTCACTTTGTGCATGCATTGGACCACTCTGGACTGCAGGCCCCGCCCACAGGATGATGAGCACTGCAATGAACCAATGACGAGATCACAACAGATTAAAACATTTTCCACATCATAACCTGCTCTGACAGACCTCATTTTACTCAGACAATACAGCATCTACTCAATATTTCAATAAAGCTTCTTTCTACTCTTACTCTACTTTGTAACTGTCATGTTTAAATGATAAATTTCAAATCAGGAATACAATCTGATAGCAGTGGTATCATATCTATCACCTGCTCTGAGTCTGAGTCACTTTCACATCCAACCATCATCCCAAACTTGTAATGAGAAGCACTTATCAAAATAAGAAGCTTTATGAAGTTGTTTTCAAAATAAGAGATGATTTAACCTTTGAACAATTTGTATTGTAATTTTAGTTGAAATTTAAAATAAAAGTATTATTTTATATTTTTGGTTTATTTTATAGTGAAATGTCACAAAAACAATATTTCTTATTTTGTTGTTTAGTATTTTTTTTTATTTGATGATAATATTATTATTATTATTATTATTATTAGTGCAGCCCTACAAACAGGCACAGCAAAACTGGATTTTTTTTTTTTTTAATCGCAATTGCAATTATTATCGCAATTCATTGATTCTTAAGCTCAAATCATGCCACAAAATCATATTTTTCAGGATGGTCAAGCTAATGCACATGTACGAATATAATATAAAATAGCAAACTGAGGCAATTGGCCAATTTAACTGTAAAAACAGTACTATTAATGAGTGTTATGATTTCTTCCATACATTATTACAAAAGTGGGTCATTTCCTATGCTTACAATGTGACAAATCTCAACAACTGATGACAAACAATTTTAGAATAAATTAAAAAAAAAATTCTAATAATAAAAATAAATAAATAAAAAAAACTTTCAACATTACAAAAAAGTAACTAAATATAACAACAGCAACAGCTAAATAAACCAGCAAAAATGCAGCCATACAAATTTAAACAATAACTAAACAATGATCAAAGGAAGGAAAATAAATAAGCATTTTTATACACAGAGTCAAAGGGCCAGCTGAGTCTCCGTCTTTGAACCGGCACTAGTCTTTGTATTACAGAGAGTGAACTTTCACGGTCCCCTAATGAGCGGTGCTGTCTCCGGGCAAAGCCGCAGTTTTCTCTTTTCTGTTCAGAAACAATAACGATTCATAAGCCTGGCCCACTTTACACTGTGATCTGTAAGAGCTCAACTCTCAAACGTCTTCGGCTTCCGCTTGACATTTCTGCTCATGAGGAGTTTAGAACTACATTGTTTTCAAACAAACCACATACTGTACAGTTTATAACGATTCAGACATTTTCACAGGCCTCCACATTATCAATAAACTCCAAATTATGCATTGTTTAGTAAAGATCATAAATGCAATGGGCACATTACAAGACAACAACTAAAGTTATGAAATAGCCAATAAACATAAAACTGTGACTGCCCAAAATATGAATTGATGAAAGCATATTCAAATCGGCCAAAAGATGTCACATACAAACACATATGAGATTCTGAGTGAATCTGCTCGCAGCAAACGGACTGAATTAGATTTCCAGAGGAAGACAACAGGAGGAAATGGTTCTTGAATGATGTGTCGTTCTGCTTCCTGTGAGACGAGCAGGAGTCATAATGTCAGCCAATCAGCCGCCATCGTCACGCTTAAGACCCAAAGGAAGCTTTATTTCTCCAATAACACTCCGGTGAAATTAAATCAGCGCATCTCTGTGACAATCTAATACATTTTAATAGACTTATAGTTCGACAGGGCAGGAACAAATTCAGTTATTTCATCACTGGCTGAGGAGAGCTGGGAGCAGACAGCATGATGAAATGATAAAAACAAAATTTGTTGACCTGATTATGACACAGAGGACATCAAAATACAGTCTAGATCAGGGGACCAAATACATTCAATATTATACACTGAGTGTTGCATTTTAACATGCATATAACATGCTTATAGTTTCATAGTAATGCATTTATATAATTATATTCACTTGTGTTCAAAAGTTTGAGGTCGGTGCGATTTTTAATGCTTTTGAAAGACTCTTCTGCTCACCAGGGCTGCATTTATTTGATCAAAAATACAGTAAAAAGAGTAAAATTGTGAAATATTATTATAATTTCAAATAACTACCGTATTGTCCCGAATATAAGACGATGTTTTTTTCTTGGAAATACATCTGAAAAAACGCGGTCGTCTTATATTCAGGGTCTAGACTTTGACGTCAATAATACACCCACAACACTAGGTGGCGCCAAATACGCATAAAACGAGTGTGCCATGAAATACGTAATGTAATGCGTGTTGTAAAGATCGCGAATAAAAACAAAAGAAAAAGAAAACCTTACAGCTGCATGAGTCGTGACTGTCACGTTAGCCTGATGGCACCAAACTCCCTTTGTGATTTTAAAACGTAAGACAGTACCCAGATTTGAAGACTACAGTAAGATTTAACTTCTACTGTTAATAAGATTTCGGTAGGCTACTATTAGATGGATAGCCCCTAATGTCCTAATTCAGATGGGCTACCTGTTTATTTTTTATTTTTTATTTTTTTTATGGTATATCAAAAAGTGTATATTTTTTAAATGTGATTGTTGGTACATTTTAACAGTTTTTACCATACTTTCAAAACAAAAATTAAAATAGGAAAAATATGCAATATGAAAAAATTGAAGACAAAATGTGTTTTACTAAGAAAAAACAAGATTTGG